GCCAGTCCCTTGGAGCATTGCATTTTAATACCACTAAAATACAAGACGCAATAAACCACTTGATGAAAAGTAAGTTGACGTTAAAAGTGATATTATAAATCACAAGATGTGATATCAGCGTTCTAGAATACTTCCCTTTACGCGCATGTAATGATCATTTATTTTATTCTACTAGCGATTCCATCGTTGGTCACTGTCATTTTGTTAGAAATTAAATAAATATCCAATATTGTCTATGGCTAATCTTCAGCCGACATCTTTTATTAGCCAAAAGGATAGATTCTTTTCAATAGCTTTATATCAGCGAATAGCATCAATTGGTACCATTCACGATAATTTTATGTACAAGTAATAACTATTCAATTTGTAGGAAGGCAAATTGATCATTATACATGTAGCATGCTATTTTAGTTATTAGAAACGATCTTAGGCTACCTATCAAACTTATCCTTAAGATTGAGAAGTACAATTGATCAGCCACAGCATTGGCAATTATAATTAGTAAGCTAGATCAACGATCAATAAATATCGACGGTACAATTAGACCTCATACTCATATAAATTTGTCTACTACCAACAGATTCCGGTGAGTAAAAAGTCCTTATCCAATAGCATCCATTGTTTTGTATCTTATTTTAGGCTGGTCTCTAAACTCGTCGTAATGTTTATAGTGACACTCAGTCAAAATATGGCTAGTAATAGAGGCAAATCTACTAAAAGGTCTTCATCCAATTGAATCGGTAGTTCATACGCACTATACGTACAGACTATATATTTATTGATGCGAAATCTTGTATGTGATACAAAATAGAATTACTTTTACCATTTAAATCTGAATCCCATTAAAGATATTTGTATGGAATTAAGCGATATATCTATTCTAAAATGCTATGGAATATAAGGATCCGAACGTATGTTTCCTTCCTAAGGTAACTTGGACACGGAATCTTACGCTCTACGTAGAATTAAAGATATCTAAATCATACATAATAACAATGCGACTATGACTACGGTGTCTCTGCTATTTAATTATTTGTAGAATCCTTCTACTGTAATATGAATAATTGATCACATTAAGTG